GCCATCTTGGCCTCCAAGGAGCACTCTGACTACACTTCTTCCAACACAGATCTGTTGGTTCTATGGGCAGCCCATGGCACTTTTAATATTCTCCTCCAACACCATGACTCAAAAGCATCAATTCTTCTACAGTCTTCCTTATTTACTGTCCAACTTTCACATGCATATAAGGTTATTGAAAATACCATGGCTTAGGTCAGGAGCACCTTAGTCTTCAAGCTGACATCTTTGCTTTTCAACAATTTAAAAAGGTCTTGTGCACAAAGAATCCTTCAATATTGCAACCTGAGGTTTGAACTTTTTCTTACTTTTTCAGCTTGTGAAATGCTCAATGTGTTCTTCCCTCTTGGTTTTCGAACTCCAGTTCTTTGCATATTTCATTATAATACTTTACTTTGTCTTCTCAGATTGTCCTTTGAAAACTTCACTTCTTTTACTTCATCATTTCTTCTGGTTGCTTTAGTTATCTAGTTCAGGAGCAAGTTTCAGAGTTTTCTGATATTCACTTTGGTCTTTTTTTTTTTTTTTTTTTTCTCCTGTCTTTTTAATGACTTTTTGCTTTCTTCCTGTATGATGTTCTTGATGTCATCCCACAACTCTTCTGTCATTGGTGTCTAATGCACAAATCTGTTTTTAAGATGGTCTCTAAATTCAGGTGGAGTATATTCAAGGTCATATTACAGCTTTCATGGACTTGCTTTAATTTTCTTAAGCTTCAACCTGTACTTGAAAATGAGCAACTGGTGGTTTGTTCCACATTCGGCCCCTGGCCTTGATTTGGCTGACAATATTGAGCTACGCCATTGTCTCTTCCCACAGATGGAGTCAGTTTGATTCTTGTGTATTCCATCTGGTGAGGTCTGCATATACAGTCACCATTTATGTTGTTGAACAAAGGTATTCACAATGAAGATGTCCTTGGTCTTGCAAATTCTATCATGCAATCTCTAGCATCGTTTCTATCACCAAGGTCATATTTTCTAACTACAGAGCCTTCCTCTTTGTTTCCAACTTTTTGCATTCTAGTCACCAGTAGTTATGAATGCATCTTGCTTACGTTTGATCAATTTCAGACTGAAGAAGTTGGTAGAATTCTTCAATTTCATCATCATTGACTTTAGTGGTTGATGCATAAATTAGAATAATAGTGAATAACAGTGATATTAACTCGTCTTTCATGTAAGCATTTGACTATTATTATACCACAGCATTGTGCTTCAATCTTGAAATGCTATGAAGATTAGTATCAAGAAAAACATAAACCAAACTAATTAAAAACAGCAACCTCGCATGATACTCAAAAGAAGAACCACATCAGCCATGCAATTTCAGTTTCTATTTCTAAAACCCTCTCATCCCTGTCCTTGACCTCATTGGGTCCCTTCTAGCCCAGAGAGGAAGGCAAGACAGGGATGAGATGATTATTGACCAGATGAGGAAATTGAGACCCAGAGACATGGCAAGTCTGCCCCGAGTCACAGCCAGTCATTGGCAAAAACACAATAGCGTCCAACTTTATGGACTGAGTAATGCAGGATGCTTTTATGATCCGAAAACCAGGCTTCACCTCGAGAGTCTGATCAAACCCAGTGCAGACTGGAGCCCTGCTCAGACCATAGGACACACAGTGGCCCCTCAGAGTTCCTGTTCAGGAGGACACCAGTAGACTGGACGGTGATATGAGAGAGTGGTCTGATAGAGGAGGTACCCACCTCCATGTCCTGTGTAGGCCTTTCCAGGGAAGAAGGCTCATGACTTTAGGAAGAAACTAAACTAATGAGGTGGAAGCTGAAGGAAACTAAGGGTAGATTCAACACGAAAAATGCCCACAGCTGGGTTGGGCTCTCCTTGGAAGCAGGGGCGCCATTGCATTGATCTCGCTGGATGGTTGGCAGGGAACGAGCAGCCAGGGTCCTGACTTGCAGCCTCTCTTCTCCACAGGTGCTGGACGAGGCGAGAGTGCAGAAGCCCGTCAATGTGCAGATGCTCTTCTCTAACCCCCTGGATGAACCTGTGAAGAACTGTGTGCTGATGGTGGAGGGAAGCGGCCTGCTGAGGGGCAACCTCAAAATAGAGTGAGTCCAGGCCTCAGCTGCCAGGAGGGGAAGGGAGACAGGTTCCTCAAAGAGCCCTCAGAATCACCTGTAGTTTCAGGTTCTTCACCCTCTGGGCCCCTGGACCTTGAGCATCTGGTGGAAGTAGAAGATATACATCAGCAAATGCATTTGCCTGTGTGGTTTTGGGTTCTTCAAACTTGAGCTTACAGAAGCTAGGTCATGAGAGCTATGAGCTAGTCCTCAGGCCTTAGTGCATTAGGAAATCATGGGGTCCCATTTTCCCTTCCTAAGGGGTCATAGGGCTGGAAGGGCACAAAGACCCAGAAAGGCAGCTGAAGGAAAAGCAATGACATTATCTAGTCTCCACCAGCATAGGACTTGTGGCCCCTGAAGGCCTGTCCAGTACAAGGTCTGTGTGCTCTTGTTATTTTGGGTTACTGCTGAGTCAACCTCTGACTCACAGGGTGACTCCATGCACATTGAAATGCTATCTGGTCTTACACCATCACCATGATGCATTGCACATTAGATTGCTGTGATTCACACACTCTTCAGTGGCTAGTTTTCAGAAGGAGAACACCAGGCCTGTCTTCCTAGTCTGAGGTCTGAGTATCATAAACACTGACTAATGCCCTCCCCCCAACAGCGTGCCAACCCTGCGCCCCAAGGAGCGGTCCCGGGTCCGTTTTGAGATCCTGCCCACCCGGAGTGGCACCAAACAACTGCTTGCTGACTTCTCCTGCAACAAATTCCCTGCAATCAAAGCCATGCTGTCCATCGATGTGGCCGAGTGAAGGGCCAGTGGCCCCCATACAAACTTGGGTAACACGGAGCGGGATGGAGGCAGCTCACCTGTAGAGTGAGTCCTGCCTGTGCTGTCCAGCCTGGGAAGCCCACTCTATCCCCTAAGGCTGCCTGGATGCAGAACCTCCAGTCTCCAGCCCACACCATCTTCCTTCTCCCAAGTCCCTAAAGGAGGGTCCACTTGGCACATGACTTGGTCACTTTTGCACGTACCCAGCCATTTCTACTGTGGCTGCCTGCTCCGTGAGCCCCAAGCCCAGCTTCTCCCTCGCATCCAGCAATGCTGCAGGATGAAATGGCCCTGACCCGGGGCTGTCCGAGTGGATACAGGAGAAGAGAGTCCAAGCTGTTTGCCAACCCCCAGCCGGCAGCTAGGACATCCTTGCTCCTCCCTTTGACTACTGTGGATGGGAGGGCATAGCCAGTCATCACCATGGCATTTACATCCATACACTCAAATAAATGATAAAGAGTCAGTGATCACATGCGCAGCTACATCCTGAGTCTTGTTTTACTCAAGGTGATAAGAAAGGTGAGAGAGATGTTGGGCTGTGTTCTGGAGGAGAGATGGATGTAAGGAAGTCTATACTTGGGTTCCAATAACCTACGAGAGTGGGCTTGTTCTGTGTGGTTCCAGGTGCAAAACTAAGGAGATGTTCTTAGTTTCCGTTTAGGAAAACTTTCTAATGTGATGTCCAATAATAGACTAGGCTGCCTTACAAGGGGAGTTTCTGGGTGGCACAAATGGTTAACATAAGTGTCTGCTCACCAAAATATGAGAAGTTTTAATCTAGAAGTACTTCGGAAGAAAGATTTGGCAATCTACTTCTGAAAAATCAGCTACTGAAAACCTTATGGAGATCTACTCTGAAATATATGGAGTCAACATGAGTCAGGGTCAACTCAGCAGCCACTGGTTTTGCATCTGGAGGGTGTTTCTTGTGACATGCTCATGCACTGCCTTTTGGGGTCCTTCCTCAGATGACAGAAAGAAAGCAGGCTCCCGAGTCCCCATCAGACCCCTCTCTGGAGTAGGCTGTCTGTCTGGGAGTTACCCAGTCTTGCACATGGGGACTTCTCTTCCTTGTACTGCTTCTGCCTCTGGCATCCCAGGAGGGACTGTGTACCCACCCAGCCCATCTCCACCATCACTGACTCGACCCAAGCCTCCTCTGTTCCAAACACAGTCTATTGTGTCCTCACTTTTGTTCCTGTAACATAATTCTCAGCAGATCATAGAATCCCTGTCATTGCATTAACTAATCTCATTTGGCAATTAGAGGTCACTGTCTGGATTTAGGAGACTAGTCTTGTCTCATGAAAACCTCAACCTCACATCCAGTTAAAATCATCTCCCTTCTCCTTAGTGTAGGCCTGGCAGGGCTTGTGGAAGGAGTACAGCCCATTCCTCATCTTCCTTACACTGCCTGCTCCTATAGCTTGATTCGTCAGAGTTGGAGAGGAAGAGAGGATTTGGAGGGAAGGAATAGGGGCTCCGTCTCCAGAGCTGATGTCCTCTGGCCTCCCATGTCCTCTGTGTGTCCGATATTCCAGTACAGACTTTCTGCACTGCATGGTCCCTGGTATGGAAGCATCCCCTCAACTACTGCCGCACTGTCACACGTTTCCTGTGATTGAGAAGGCAGGAGGAGGGGCATGTCCATGTTGGTATGGTTCATCAACATGGCAAAGTAAAGATCCCATAGAAACTTTGGTAACATGAAGTAGGAAAGATCTGCTCCCTAGTAAGCCCTTCAGTGAGATAGTACACCCACCACCTCTAGTTTGAAAGAAGGGTGCTTGAATGAAGGCTGGATCCTAGTTCCCTTTCATGGGGTCCATAAGCCCTGAAGCACATACCTCCTTGTCTCCCCAGTCAGTGGGTGGGCAGTCCCCTGCTGTCTCACCCCTCTTCCTACCTTCTTGAGCTGCTCCAGCCCTGGCCTCCAACCTCTCAAACTCTCCACACTATCTGACACCAGCATCTGTATCCATGTATGTTCAATGTCAAGTTCTCACAAGAACTATCACCAGACCCCAACTGTGGTGGCTGAAACTGCTGGACCTCCAAGTGACAGGCACAGCAGGTCCCCAACTGCTAAATGGAAGGTCCATCTGTTCTTATTAGCAATCTGCCACTCTCTCCAAATGGAGTTTTGGGGTCTGGCCCCTTGGCTTGGCTTAGTGATAGTAATTCCAGTCCTTCTCAGAGACTCTGCCCCGCATCTCCAATGAGTAGAACCCAAAACCAAACCAGTTACGATCGAGTCCGCTCCAACTCTTGACAAGTCCATGTGTGTCAGAGTAGAATTGTGCTCTATAGGGTTTATCAATGGTTGTGATCTTTTGAAAATAGATTGCCAGGACTTTCTTCCAAGGTACTTACTGGATGGACTTGAGCCTCCATCCTTTTGGTTTATAACTGAGAGTTTAATTGTTTGCACCACACAATTACTCCTTGAATGAGGAGGGTTAGGGCAAGACAGACAGGCATCTGTCTGCTCTGATTTCCAAAGGAAAGAAGAAATCCAGATACTTTCATTTCCTGTGGTTCATGGGAGGCCTACCCTAGACCTTTGTTCCCTCAGGCAACAGCCTCATTAGCAAACAATTCCTGGTACCTCCTTTGTCCCAGGCTCTGTGTTGAACACCAGATGCAGAGATATTAAAAACCAACAACAACACAGTCCTTGCTTTGGGGCTTCCACCTTGAGGGAAACTCCCAAGTGCCACATTAAAAATCTACAGAGAATTTCTAATCAACACCAAGCAAATGTACTTTGTGAGAGCCATGTCCACCTCACTTGGGTTGTGAATAGTTCTAGCAATAAAACAAAGAACTGGCAGGCAGAGAACATGCCATTGTATTTATTTCTGGTAGAAATTAAATTGGAGGCTATAGTGTAGAGTGGGTCTTCTAGCTGAACCCCAGGATCAGGTGACTTTCCCTTATTAGTTAGAGTATATGCCCAGCAGCCATAGCAGAGACCCAGAACACCAGAGTCTTAAACAAGATAGTCACAGATTTCTGTCAGTGTAAGAGTCCAGGTGGGCAGTCCAGGAGCACAGGGCCTTTTTATCTGTTAGAGGCAGCCCCAGGTTATGAGTGTCTAATCTATCTACAACCCCATAGCTATAAACCAATCCCAGTAAAGAGTATTATATTAAAATTTTGAGGTGTATACATGGTGAGTCAAAAATGATCTGCACCAGCTGTAGAATTTATTTTGATCAACTTTTAGAAAAGACAAATACATCATTTTTCAACATAATCTCCTTGATTTTCAATCCACTTTGTCCATCTGTCAACAAGCTTTTGTATTACCTTCTTAAAAATAATGTTTTAGGCTGAGCTGCGAGCCACAAACATGCACTACTGTCTTCATTTCTTCATCAGAAGTGAATCTTCGTCCTTGAAGGGCTGCTTTCAGGAGACCAGACAGGTGAAAGTCCGTTGGAGCAAGATCAAGACTATAGGTAGGATGCTTTAACACCTCAGAATGAAGTGCTTGCAGAATGTCAACAGTATGGGCAGAGGTGTGTGGAAATGCATTGTCATGCAAGATCACAAAGACCTTGGATAGCAGCAGTCTTCTGTGTTTTATCTGCAGTTTAGGCTTCAGTTCTTCAGTGAGCATCTCATTGTAACGAACACTGTTGATTGTTGAATCTCTTTCCTGTTAGTGTTGCAATGCTGTTGTTGTTGTTGTTAAGTGCCGGCGAGTCAATTCCAACCCATAGCGACCCTGTATAGGGTTTCCTAGAAGCAGCTGGTAAGCTTGAACCACCGACCTTGCAGTTCAAACGACTTTGCAGTCTGACGCATTAGCCCACAGCGCCACACCAGGACTCCCCTAGTAGCTCTTAAATGGAAAGCACTGATAAAACAGTGCCGCCAACAGAAGTTTTAATATAACCAGAGTGCCAGTAACTCACCCTCATACAATGGTTCATAATAACAGGTGTTAATTTACAGTGTACATCAAAACTTTATTACTATGAATGTATTGGTATGTTAAAGATATTTTCATTTATCTGGAGGAGTCCCAATGTGGTACTGTAGGAAAAGCTACTAACCGCAAGGACTGCTAACCACAAGGTCAGCAGTTCAAACCCACCAGTCGCTTCTTGGAAACCCTATACAGGGTTGCTATGAGTTAGAACCAACTTGACGGCATTTAACAACTTCCAGTTCATATGGAAGTGATTACTTGATGCTTTTAATGCATAGTAAGGTACACTAAATACTAAGACAAACATTTTATTATAACTGTTTAGTATGTAGAACTGTTTTTGACTTATGTACAAATTCGACTTAAAGACAGACAGGAGTGGACGTCATTCATAATCCAAGTCCTGCCTGTACCCTACCATTGTCAACATGTGGCTGCCACCCTGGTGATTCAAGATGACATAATGTCCATGGTAGGAAGGAAGGAAGAAGAACAGATGGGGCCCCTCTTGTCCATTAGGAGAGCAATCTGAACATTGAAATTCACATCCCATTGCCCTGAACTTAGTGACATAGCCATAGCTAGCTGCAAGAACAGCTGAGAGATGTAGTTAACTAACTGGGTTGTCATTTACCCAGGAAATATTCAGAGTTTTGATTACTACAGAGAGATAGGGAATAGGTATTGGTGTCACCAGCGATCTCTGTCACCTTTTCCACCAAAACAAGGGCAGTGCTGGACAAGAGCTGTGTTTCCTTCCATGGGCTCATAGAGAAGCAAAGGTAAAGCACAGCCTAGTTATTCATCCCAAATGTATCCTTCAGGGAAGCCCCAACACCTGCGTAGGAACAGAGAGAAACTGAGAATGTACCTAAGCGGGAATTGCTCCTTGTGGAAACCAAGACTGGAAAGGATGTTTTCCAGAACAGATCTTTACATCCTTAATTCAGGTTTTGCGCCTTCCAAATCTAGATTATCCTGTGGATGGCCTCTGGAGCCTCAGGGATGCTCTTTTAAAAATACCCTCTCTGTGAAGA